GATCTCGATGTTTTCAAACCCTCAAATAGTCCACTATGAATTAGTTCTGCCTGCCATATGGTGAATGCACCTTTATTTGGCCCTTCTGTATTTGGTCTTGGCCCTTCTGTATTGGCCCTTCTGAAATCTGTTCTGGCCCCTCTGTATTTGGCCAGTAGCCTATGGCAGTGTTAGGTGCATTCGGTTCCCGGGAATTATCTGTTATCTGATGCGGTTACGCATTCCCTTGCTACTGGGCTAAAATTCGTAGCCTTAGTGTGACCTATGGGGTGACTTTTACATTCATGAAATACTCATCGAGAAATAAGATTCTGATAATTTGACTGTGAAATTAAGAAAACAACAATTCTCTGATTTTGCCCAAATTAGTAGTTCTTTTCTTCTTAATGTTTACCTTGATAAAAAAAAAGTTTGATTTCAAGAAATTTCACAATTTATTCGGTTGCACATGAGAAAGAAAATATAATTGTTGTATTCTTTCTTAAAAATGACAATATTACGATATTTGGATCGTAGTTTATTATCTTTGAATTTCTCATGCAAATTTTGCAATTTCGTTATTTATGAGAATTATTCTTATTACTATTTTATTAGTTATCTAGGAACTCTAGTGGGAAATGTTCTCACTGAGCGCTAGCTCATTCCGTTGTTTTTAATATTTTTTTCAGATCAGGCGTAGCTTCCTACTAGCCGACTTTTAGTTTGAACTTTTGGCTGAGAGGCGTTATATGGAGGGCCTCTTCATTTTGATGTTACCTTCAGCACCATTTATTTTGTTTTGTAAAATGCTTATGACGGTGAGCTTGTGGGCTGTAAGTACCGATCAAATATATAGTTGCTCTGACTTCTATCATCAGCAGGTTTATGAATATTTGAAATAAACTATGTGATATGAAGTGCCAGGCTTGACCCGTGCATAAGACTTGTCTTAGGCATTGGTCGCTGCTGTTGCGCACCCCGTATTTTATGATATTCCGCTGTAGTTTCGGGGCGTGACAGTAAGGTGGTATCAGAGCTTAGGTTTCGACGTTAGAAACCTTGTAGGGCACGCTATCATAGAGTATATGCGCTAGATGAGTGTTAGCGTATGGATCAATTATGTGATATATGTCTGTGTACATACGTATATATATATATATATATGTATGCATATAAATATTTTATAGTAAAACCTTTTAGGGTTCATTAAGGAGTGCTTAGATGTTTATTTTATTTTACTTTGTCCTTTTTCTTCAGTAAGCTGATGGATGGTTCCCCTTTTGTAGGATGGCGGGAACCAATTCATCTTCCAGTTCGTCA